AAAAAAAAAAAAAAAAGTGTTATCAATATACAGATATCCCAGAAACGAGAAATCTTCAGACCCTAGCTCAAATCTTCTAAGATTAGAAATGAGATTACTCCAGCACCAGCATTGAGACATTATATAAAATTTTACCAAATATTTCTGTGCAAGAATACTTTAGCTCTTTGAGGATAATCTCACAGAGACAGTCTCAAGGAAGCAAAAGAGAATACACATAAACTTACATATATGCAAATATAAGGCCAAGATATTTTTTCCTTAAAATTCTCTCAAAGGAGAATCACCATATATTTGAGTCCTTACAATGTATCTTGTATTACAAGTCATTCTCTCTATTTTAAGGGAATACTGTTTAGGGAAGTTCCTTTATTTTGAAAAACAAAATACTGCTTCAAGAAGATCTACATACTATATAACCTCAATCAATGCCAGTTTTTGATGCTTTTAGATATTATCTGAGAGAAACAGGTCAAATAGACAGAAATAAAGATGACATGCTTTATAAAACTGTAAGATAACTCAAAGTGGCTCAAATGAGTCCAAGATACATGTGAAATGTCAAAGATATATTGTGAAATGAGCCTCCCAAAACACTATTTCTAAATTAACATTGTTATTTATGAATCAATTATCCTAAAAATGGAAGCAGAGATTCTATGTCTAATGACATAATTTAATATGAAACAGCACCACAACCTATGAAGAATTATTGCCTCAAAAAGAAAACCAACCAAAAAACAAAACCCCCACTGAACTTCAATCCATCTAACGAAGATGCCAGATTTAAAAAGTACTGGTTTATCAGAAATAGGAGAGATAGAAGAACAAAATCAATAAATGATATAAGAAATAATTTACCAATCCAGAATATGGGGAAAAAAACCTAATGGTTTTCCTACTAAAGATTTTTGTACCACTCATCATGGAGCAATAAAAACCAGAATCAAAAACCTAGGATATAGTTCCATGTTTGTCTCTAGCTGAATGAACTCAGACCACTTGAACTCTGTTCCTGTTTCTCCATTTGCAACTGAGAATAACAGTGCTTCCCTCATAGGGTTATTGTGAAGACTAAATGAAAAAATATATGAAACTGAAACACGAGCACTTTCCAGGGTATTAACTACCCACTATAATAAGTAAACTATTTTTTTTTTCTGTTTAAAAATCAATATAAAATCCTTTGACCCAATATCTTCTCTTCCAGGAACTTATATAAACAACAGCACCAACATGATAAAATAAACTGAGTGTTTTTTACTGCAGGATTGCCTATAGTGGTTAAAAAAGAAAACTTGAACCTAAGTTCAATAATAGAAAAACAGTTTAGCAAAATAAAAAGCTAGGCACTAAGTAAAACTTACATGTGCTAATGTAGTAAAATGTTCATGATACTAAAAATACCAAGTTGCCTATGGTGTATTATTATGATACCGTTTTTGTTTTTAAAAAAGGGTATGCTGCCCTGCCCAGTGTGGCTCAGTTTGGTTGGGCATCATCCCATGCACCAAAAGGTCATTGGTTTGATTCCAGGTCAGGGTACATACCCAGATTGCGGGTTGGATCCTGTCAGGGTGTGTGCAGGAAGCAGCCAGTCAATGTTTCTCTCTCCTCCTCTCCCTTCCTCTCTAAAATCAATAAAAACTAGCCCGGCCGGGCGTGGCTCAGCGGTTGAGCTTTGACCTGGGATCCAGGCAATCGGGGCTCGATTCCCGGTCAGGGCACATGCCCGGGTTGTGGGCTTGATCAATGCCTCTCTCATCATTGATGTTTCTGTCTCAATCTCTCCCTCTCCTTTCCTCTCTCTGAAATCAATAAAGATAAATTTAAAAAGTAAAAAATAAATAAAATAAATAAAAACTATTAAAAAAAAAAAAGACTGAGGCCATGGCCAGGTAGCTCAGTTGGTTAGAGCATTGTCCAATATGCCAAGGTTGTGGGTCTGATCTCCGATCAGGGCACATACAAGAAGCAACCAATGAATGCATCAACAAGTGGAACCAAAAATCAATGTTTTTTCTCTCTCTCTCAAAACCAATTTTAAGAGTATGAAAAAATAAACACCTCATTTGGTAGGAGAGGAGGTATTGTTGGCTTTCTGTGTTGTAAGGCTTGCTGAAGTCAGCAATAAAGTTTTTTATAAAGGGCCCTATATAAATAGTTTAAATGCATTACTGTTTAGAGGTTTTATCACAGAATAGAGTACAAGCGAGCTTGTGCTATTTTCAGTTGGTATAAGTAGTATTAGGTTGAATGCCAAACAACTGAAGACTAGTTTTAAATGACTATTTGGTAATTTTTAATTGTTACACACTGTCAATTAGCATCAATATAGGACCAAGGAGAAATGACTTAAGAAGTGTTAATTAGGTTGCAAGAGAACTAAAGGAAGTTATTTGAATGCATGGTCTGAGACAGCTTGGGGAAAAATTAAAAACCATTAAACAGCATGTGTTAAAACAGTTTTAAAAGGTTTTTTCCCTTTCTAATTTTCCAAAGTGTGTTCCTTAACCACAAACTCAGTGTCTTAGAAATAAGAGGTTCCTTATTCAATACGTTTAAGATATGCTGATCCCCAGCACCCACTTGTTCTTTTGCAAGCTGAGCACATGGTCATTCTGGAATTCATTCTCTACATCATTAGCATAGTAAAGCTTGGAAAGGTCCTACAACTATAACTGGTTTCCTTTAACCCAGTACTATCATAACTTTCTTCCATAATTATGTTAACACGAAGAACGTATTTTGAGAAGCAGTATTTTGAGTCATTTCCAAGAAAATAAAGAAAAATGGCCCAGCCAGCTTGGCTCAGCCTTTGTGCATCGATCTATGGTCCAGGAGATCGTGGTTCGATTCCTGGTCAGGGCACATGCCCAGGGTTTCGGGCTTGATCCCCAGTAGGGGGCGTGCAAGAGGCTGCCAATCAATGACTCTCATCATTGATGTTTCTCTCTCCCCCTCTCTCTGAAACAGATATTTTTTTTTAAAAAAAGGAAGAAAAATGAATGCATGAGTTATAGAACATATTTCAACTTTAACTTTTGCCTAGGAAAAGTCGTAACTTAAAACAGTTAAGTTTATCATCAAGTTAAAACTGTTTAGTTTATCATCACTATTATGAATAGTTTAAGAAAAAATATGAGCTCTACAAATCTTTGAATTAAGCAAGAGGAACCTTTTAGGTGATAAATATGAACTGTGATTTTTTTTTTTTTTAAAGTTCCTCAAATATTCAGTAAGCCCTGAACAGGTGATCATTTGTTTCTCAATAACTCTAGGTGAGATGACCAAACCAATCTTCTAAAGATACTAAAGTTTTAAAAAAATTCTAAATTGTTGTTGAGAAAACAAAAACAAACACCTAGACTGCAGTATCTGAAAAGAGGAACTAAATCTGTTAGTTTCAAGGAGTATTAAGTTACGTACCTAAAAAGGGTCTGTGGTAGAAATATTGAGTATATAAATGAAATTTACTCTATGTTCACTTAAGTAAAAACTTCGAAGGCACATCAAGAATCTCACAGGAAATCTACAGAATTAAACAAAAACTAATCTTTGGAAAATAACGAAGCAAATATTGAGTAACAAAAGTAGTAAGTAAACTCGCAACTTTTGAAGATACAAAAGTAAAAGGCATACAGTAAATTACGCACTATTCTCATTATACATAGAAATGAATTATGCCAATTCCTTGGAGGCCATCTTATTTCTAGTACTAAGCTTTAAAAGAAATTCCTTATATGGGGTTATTATAGAGAACACAGAGTTGTAACAGAAAATATATTCAACAACATTCTTATAACAGATGCTAGGTTTCATAATCTCATATTTTTATAGTCAGACCTTTAAGGAAAGTCATGTATCTAAATCCTAATACAATCCAAGGGAAACAAGTCCACAGTAATTCTGTAAGGATTCCAGGACAATATAGTCTAAATCAGGGGTGGGGAACCTTTTTTCTGCCGAGGGCCATTTGGATATTTATAATATCAAGGACCATACAAAATTATCAACTTGAAAATTAGCTCCTAGATTTATTGAATTTCGAATTCTGCCTGTAGTTGCCTTGGCAGGACCAGACCAAATGACTGTGGGCAGTGTATGGCCCAGGGGCCCGATGTTCCCACCCCTGGTCTAAATCTTCCCAAATTATAATCTTGGGTTTCCAAAGTCTTGCAGGGTTGTCCAAATTAGATAAAGCTCTTAAATCTGGAGGACTCCTACCTATCTGCAGTCATATCTTTAAGCTTTGTCATCTATCAGGCTCCCTACACATGTTAATCCGTCTGGCTGAATGCCACTTCACCTAACTCATCTCAATTAACTTCTCTAAGTATTTGTAGACTCAACTTTACCTCTTGTGGAAAGCTTTTCCTGAATCCATAGCATTTTTGTAACAGCACTTGGTGTACTGCACTGTAATCATGAGTTTAATCATCTTCCTCTCCACTTTACAATAAACTCCCTAAGAACAGAGGTCATTTAGCACCAACACCTAAGGACAGTGTAGCATACAACTGGCCTGCAAAACTCAAAAAATATGTGCAAATTCTGGTAGTCCAGCTTGATGAAAGGATACAACTTAGAATATCCACAGTAACAAATGGACTGAATGTTCATCAAATGTTACCAATGAGTATCTTCTCAACCAGACTTAAGATAAATATTTGAAAACAATTTTATCTTTCACACTATCCTAGAGTACTAATAGTTTTGCCAGTGTAGGAGCCACATAATTTAGAGATTAAATGAAGGCACCTAAGACTTTCTCTTTAGATGAAAGGCAATAATTATTTATGCTTCGACTGCAAGGTGGTCCAAGAAAATGTTTGTAGGCAAAACTAGCA